GGCACTGCTGCTGGCATCGGGGAAAGCCCTGGCAAACAGTAGCATCCCCAGGGCATGGGTACCCCTGCAAGTCTGAACAATGCTGAGATTTCTTCCTTTGAGGTTCAGCAATAACATCAGGCAAATCACATGAAACCCACCCCCCAAAAAAGCACAGAAATCAAAGAAGGAAATTGCTGCACTGCCCAGCTCAGAAAAAAGCCTGAAAATGGGAACCATGAGCTCTAAAGCCACCGTTTATGTCCCTCCATATGTTTTGGAGGGGCTTCCCGAAAGCCCAGTTCCCGTAGGGTCGGGAGACCCTTGAAGCCAGATCCCCTCTGTCACCTCCTCTCTGCGGCACACGCCAGCGGTGTTGCTTTACACCTCCCCTCTTACCAGCCCAAATCAGAAACTGCCCGCTACGCCAGCTGCTGTGAACCCCAGCTTTCCCAAACGGCCCCCCAAACCAGCACCCACTTCCCCAAAGCCTTCTCCCGGACCAAAGCTCCTGCCCGGGGCCAAATCGCTCACTGCTCATCAGCTACGGGTGACTTCCACCGAGCGATCTGCGGATGCGAGCGCCGGCTGTGAAGGGAGAAGAGACCTGACCACAACGGAGCCGTGCAACGAGGGGGACAGACCTACGGACGGAGGCGTGGAGCAGACGCACAGCACCAGGAGATTTCGGCCATGGTTGTGGCAAAGTTGTGGCTGCAAAGCAGAGGTGCAACAGCCCAGCTCAATTTGCAGGAAAATGCTTAATTGAAATGAAATGATCCCCCTGGAAGGAAGGGGACTGCCCAGCTTCTGGGGAGAGAAGCCCTTCTGCTGGGTCTTACGTTCACTTCTTCGTGGTAGAGCCCAAAATAGTTAGGGGTGAGAGATAGGCTGAGTCCCTGGGTGTGTGGCGGGGGGACAGGCACATGCTGACCTCCGACAGCACCCTAAAATCGGCAGAGGGAGGGTCTCTGCAGCGGGAAAATTGCCTCCCAAATCCAGCACAGAGTGCCCCAGGGAGCGAGCATCCCTGCTCGGCAAGCCCAGCGGTGCGGCGTGCCGGAGCGGCTGGGCAGGGAGCCGTGGGGCACCCCGCTCACCCACCCACTGACCCACTGCAGCAGCACCCTGCACCAGCTCCTGATCCGCTCTCCAGAAGCAGGGCCAGGGGTTAGAGGGCCAGCGGCCGGGCCATGGCAGCAGGAACACTCTTGGGCTCAAATCGCTTCCTAAATCCTTCCAAATTCCCATTTTCTGGCCATATGAGGATAACGGGGCTGAATTACTGAAGCTACTGAAGTTTTCCAAGCTTACAGTGAATATAGGGGGACATTTTCTAAGCCAGGAGCACCAGCAGGTTAAAATACAAGAAAAAAGGGCAGGTTAAAAGCAGGGTTTGGGGCACAACCTGCTCCAGGCTTTGGGCTGCCGTAATCCAACGCCCTCCTATAAACCAAAAAAAGTCCTCAGGGGATTTGAAGCAAATGTGTTGTTTCCCTTTTTAAGGTTAAAAAAAAACATGCCTGGGCTTTTTGGCTGAAGAAGAGGGGCTGGGTTTGAGTGAAGGCTTTAGGAATAAAAGAAGTGATCAGAGATACCTGATTCCAACAGCAAAAGGAGCCCGCAGACACAGGGCTGTGGGGCTCACTGTATGTGTACATACATCGCTCAGAGGGAGCTACAGTTCCCAGGGATGCTGCCCAGGAGCCGAATCCTGCTCCCTCGGGGGCTTCCCCCCAAGATTGCTTCGCCTTCTGACAGGGCAAGGTGGTTTTTTAACCATGTGCTGCCCACATCTTGGGGGAGTTTCGTGGCTATTTGTGTGGCCACTGGGGAGTTGTTTTCCAAACAGAAACTCTAGCAGAACAACTAAAAATAAAGTGGATACTTCAAAAAAAAAAAAAATCTTTTACAACAGAGAGCTCGACTCGTGGTTTTTCTGGGAATCAGGAAGGTTTTGCTCCTTTCGGTTGCCTTTGAACCCAGGGCCTTGCAGGATGGTGTAAAAACGCACCAAGGCTGCTTAAATAAATGCTGTCCCATTCCACAGCTGGTCATGGAATTAGTCTGAGGTCTAGGCTTAAATTTTCATGTGAACCCTCTGCCCCTTTCTGTGCAAGTGTTTGCCTCTGGAGCTGCTCTCCCTGCCTGTTCTATCTTAACTTTCATTTTAAAGCTCTCCTTGGAGCAGCTCTGCCAAGCTGACAAAAGTGTCTTTGACATTTTCCCCCTGTTTTTCAACAAACTGAAAGTGCATCCAAGTGGAAGGTTTTGAAGAAAACCCTCAAAGCCCTCAAAATGCAAAAAAAACCCAACCCACAACCCAATCCTTTTATTTTCTTCACACTTTTGCCCCGAAAACAGCGTTTCCCCAAAGAGCTCTAGGGCTTGCCCTGGGCCATAAATCATTTCCATCACCAGGAGCAAGCAGAGCAGC